AAAATATACGCGATAAATTCCGTAAAAACTAGTATTATTTCAATGTGTAGTGTTCGCGTAAATATAAGAAATCATTATGTCATCCATATATAATCCACTTTCAATTGCCCTCTTAGCTTTAGGATAAGAGGGACCTTCATCGTCGGCGAGCTATCTCACCGTGCGTAACGCATGAAATGGGCTCGACTTTAAACCAAAGCAAACGCGGTTAAATTCAAACACCATTAGAGGTTCTTTTGGGTTGAAACGATATAAAATGCGTTGGAATCTACGGTCGCATTCACGGACCCCTATGCAAAGAAACATTTGGCGAATATCGGCGGATAATGCTATACTAAACAAACGAAAATTGGCTATTATATTAAATAAACTGCCCTGTAAATTTTGCCCACTATAGAGGATATCGTTAAGCGACAGGTGAGTGCTAGTTTTAGCACTAGCGTCGAGCACTACACGTAACTTAGATGTAAGTTTTTCCTCGCTAATGACCCCGTGATGTGATATGAAATACGACGGTGTGTCTTCGTAGTTATCTAATTTCGAGTCCACAAGTGATATGTAACCTTCCCTTATATATTCGTTAATGACGCCGTCATAAGCTTCTTTTAACTGGGGTGAAGCGAGCATCCTACGCTCCAAGCTGTAGAAACGTTTTTCCGCCATTTGACGCGAATCGCCGAGAGATAAAACATCTCCTTTAAAGGGTAGCGCTACACTATATCGACCGTCGCGATCACGAACGGTCGTGCGGACGTAAATTTCCTCGCACAATCATCTGGGCTAACTATAGGTGGAACGTTCACCTCCTCCATCTCCCAAAATTTGCGGACTAACGACTCGAGCGGTTCGACAGCCATACCACAATAAGAGGTTGCCGAAATACTATCCATGATGGGGGTGGGGCCAACGATGACATAGCCCAAGACGGTTTCCAATGCGTAAGGCGCGGTATGCGAGGAGTTGCCCCTGACCTTATTGTTTAACAAAAGATGAGGGAAAAGCGATGCTCCAATGAGCATGTCTATGTTTCCGGGAACGGCGTAAGTGTCGTCTGCTAGAGTCAAATTTTTAAATTCAATCATTGCCGAGATGTCAACCGAAACGGTTGGCAGCCGTTCAGTGACTTTATGTACTAGTAGTGAATTTATATCAAAGTTAACATTACGATCTATCCGAGAATAAAATTTTAAATTTACATATCCCTGGGTAACTTTACTAGTACCTCCGATGCCTTTGACTACGGGACATGAAAGTGACCTATTTATTACTAAGCCTAAGCGCTGAGAACATTGTCGCGTTATAAAGCTATTTTGGGATCCGCTGTCCAGTAATGTACGGACGCTTTGTTCATTTCCATGCGAATCCCTAACTACAATACGGGCTGTACCCAGTAACACGGTTGAAGGAGGCTGTGCTCCCATATTTGCCAATGAGCACAGAGCGACATCACCAGGTCGACCGCTAGAATCGTTGACTTTAGTAGGGGTGAATTCCTTGTCCGCTTTACTTGACGCAGATATGTTGCTATTTTCGAAATGTAACAAAGTGTGTTGTTTTCTGACGCACTTGTTACACGCGGAACTAGAATTGCATTTTGCAACTAAATGCTTATCGCTTAAACAATTCAAACATAAGTTGTTTGCCCTTACTATTCTATAACGTTCGCTGGGTGAATGTTTACGAAAGGTCGCACAATTGTATAAATTACCGTGTTGTTATAATCTTTACATAGGATACAGGCTTTCGGTGGTGGTACCGACGCAGCGGTTGCGTACGTTAACGACCCTGCGGTTTTAGGTGATGGAGTCTGTCTACGGTCGACATCTTTCTTAACTTCCTGTCTAACGTTCGAGAAGCGCTGCATCACTTTGATTTGGTCTCGCACAAACGATGCTAATGAATCAAAGGGGGGCATTTCATAGCTACGATGCTCCATTTCAAACGCAAGCACGGCGTCGGGGTCTAGTTTCTTTAGTGCAATATGGAGAAACACCACGTCCATAAGGTTATTAAATTTTAAGTTCGTAAGTGCAGCCACCGATGCTACAAATTTATCTAAAAACTGCTCTAAGCCGGCGATGTTCGCGGATGATATAGGTTTATTATCAAATATTTGGTCTAAATATGAAGAGGCTAACATTCGCTTATCTTCATATTTGTCCTTAAGCGTTTCGAATATTAACAAATAATTATTTGCTGTTGATGTGAAACCCGAGCAAATTGACTGTGCCATGCCACTCAGTTTACTAATTAAATAACATAATTTTTCAGCGTCCGATAACGATGGATTATTATGTATATTGTCTTGAAAACTACTAAAGAAGAAGGGCCATGTCTTAATATCGCCATTGAATACCGGAATATCTATTGGGGGCAACCTAATCGAATCACGTGGGCGTACCTGGGCTTCCGGCTTTGCTTCGCTTTGAGATGGGGACTGCAAGAGCTTCGCCGTTCTTTTCACGCGACACAACTATCTTCAAATGCTAGAAGCGGTTGGTAGTTCACTGTATATTTCGGGTCGACTTTGGAATTCCAAATTATTAATTTGGTCTAATATCCTTTCGTAATCCGTCCGCAAAGAATCCACAGTTTTAATTTCGCAAAAAAACGTTTCCCGCTCTGCTTCTACGTTAATGTTCTTTACGTGATCACTAATATACTGTATACGTGAAAAGAGTACGTCCCTCTTGGCGTAAAGAGTTTTAAGTTTAATTTCATTTCCACTAACTGCCATTTTAAATTACTAGAATTAATATTAGATTAATCACAATTAATCGCACAACGCTGGAGGATGGACGCAATGTAACACAACTATATCTCCCAACACTGTTGTCTTATCGTGCCGTATTACGTCGTTAAATTGAACACCTGTACAACGAGCCGAGGTGATGCGTGTCACTCGCTAAACTCACACTGTTTTTTCTTTTTTTTTTCCAAGGAACCAAGCTATTTTGATTGAATGATTCTATCTGCGAATAACCAACCAAAGTTTAGATTTAAACTAAACAAACACTATTTAAATGAATGAATTCTATTTGCGAATAACTAACCAGAGTTTAAATTTAAACTAAACAAACACTATTTAAATTCTATTTGCGAATAACTAACCAAAGTTTAATTAAACAAACAAACACTATTTAGACTGCGGTTATAGCACCAGTCCAAATCCGGCCGCATGACCAGAAAATGGTTGAGCGACGGGCCTAAGGTTACCGAATTCAAATCCCCGGTCGAGCCTTAAGCCTATTACGCGAGATGTTACACCAAATGGACTGTATAAGCGGATGGCTTCTTCCGTCTCCACGAAATGGCGACTATAGCATGCGGTTTTCCTGACAATGCACTCGCTCTTCCCTAGACGAACTATTGCTTGCCAAAGTCTATGAAGGAACCCCGCTTGATCACGCTAGGAGAAAATGAAATTGGAGCGGATTAACTAATAAATACAATTACGTCAAGCGGGCATATAACTGGAAGTTACTCACCGGGGTGTTGCTTCGATGCGGCTTGGGCGCTCTGTTGCTGCGGTGCGACTTCTGGCGGATTCTCTGGGGGCCCCAGAGATGCATTCCTGTCCGGTGATGCGATGGAAGAGCGCGGTGCGCGACTATATCTCACACGAGGTGAGGCGGTTACTCCCGGAACTCGACTGCTCCGGGCTAATGCGGTTGAACTAGCGGTGCGCGTGGGCAAAGCCCTCTAGGACTCGACTGTCCTAGGCGGTGTGGTTCCAACTGGTGCGCGAAGGGAAGAGAGCACGTGTGGGCCGCGCGCGCGTTTATATTAGTTCGGTTGCGAAGATCGCGTGACATTCTAGAACTATCTTCTTTCCCCTCTCACCCCACCACACCGGTGTGTCGAAAGGGACAACAGGTGAAGGAAAGGTCGAAAGAAGGACAGATCTTGGCAAGCATACCGTCGAATAAAATAAAAATACGGATGGTTTTCCGCGCAACCATGAATATTTTCGTAGCATAGTTCATGTAGTAAAAAATAAGCGATATTAAAATAAACATAATTTACTGAACAAAATAAATATATTAACAAAAAATTACATATCAACTTAATCAGTTTGTGATGAACAATAATCATTACATTAAGATGTGTAGTGGATTTTGTGAAATGATTTCAATATTCAGCTCAATCCCAACACGATTCTAAATATATTATTATAATTTCATATAATAAATAACTAGTCTTTACTATTTATCAAAATATTATACAAAATTAAGGCCAAATAAGTCCAATTGAAACTTGCCATTTCGTAGCAAATGTATGCAATTTTTGTAAAATTAACTGGTATACTGCAACCGAAAGTACTGCAATGTACGACACAACTTTAACTATCCATAAGTTAATTAACCCATTCCGATTTGTCTGCCGAACAGGTTTTTATTTTTTGTTTAGATTTTATAATAAAATATTACAAAATGTAGTAAATTTTTCTGTTATTGGTTTAATAATAATAATAATAATTGGCGTGGGGAATTGATGACCCCATCGCCAGTTAAGTGACAAAACTGCTACGTAAACGCAGTCATGACTGACGCTGACGCGCCTTGCGAGAGGTGTGAGCGCCGTGCCTCGGCAGAATTTAGGGTGCAAAGGCCCGTTTGTGCTTATAGCCGCACACGATACGGTGCCGGGCCTGGGCGTCTCCCGTTAATGGACGCCCAAATCATGGATGATGGACAAAAAGTTAGTGCGCAAAGGGCCGCTGCTTGGAGGTCGCCAGGGCGCGTCTGGAGCTGGCGCTGGATGCGAAAGCATGCGCGCCGTCAGCTGACCGCGGGGTGCTGCAAGACCACCTAGCAGCCCACCGCATCCATCATTCCCACCAGAAGGCTTGGTGTCGGCTGGGTCTTCTCGGACTCAGCTCACTTGCCGCTGGTGGAGCACGTCGCATGCGTTGGTCACAAATAATGAACGCAAACACACTGCGGGCGTACTTTAGGGCAAAAGGGGAAGAAACTGGACGTTTGGCGTATCGGGCTCGGATGCATCGCTTTTTTGCAGAGCTGGAGCCATCTCTATCCGTCAATGAGCAAAACCTGGCAGACCGAGTTCGGTACATCCTGCGCTCCAACATATTTGGTGACGCCGTACTCGAACGACTACGACGTGAGGCTGTTCCCTCATCGGATGGAAATGCTACGGCTAGGAATACGGCGCCACTAGTTGTGGAGCAAACTACATATGTGGATGCTGCCGTCAATATTCAATTTGTGGTTGATTCAGACGATGATGGAATAGTCTCCTACGAACTAGTGAAAATGAGGAGCATATTGGAAGAGTCGATGCTGGAAATGCGCAGCATGCCTCTCGAAAATCGACCTCGACTTCCCCGCATACCCCTTAGCAAGTGAAATCGGGCTGTCGTGCGGGCTCTTAACCCAATACTGGTGACCTATTTGGAAGCCAGCCGGGACCTTTGCGTGATGGACTCAATTCTTTTTGGTGCCGCACTGGCAGTATGCCATTTATTGGTGCCAAACTTCTCATGGCTGGACGTGCTACTCGACAAAGTAGCGCCATCCCAGCCTGGAGAAAAAGAACCGAGAACCGTATCGGGCAAAGGCAAGGGCCCTTATCGGCAGACTGACAAGCTTCAGGAATGGTAATAATAGACTGAGAGTTATGCGCACCGTTATAATGGGGTTTGCTGGGACAAATATTAGTTTTTCCCAGCCGGATATCACGCAGAAACTAACGGAGCACATAGATGACCTGAAGCAAAAAATCGCTGCTTGGGGGAAGCGGATTCGACGATTTAGCGGGAGGTCAAGGCGGTTCAACCAGAATCGTCTCTTCAAGGTTGATCAGAAGAGGCTCTATAAATCATTGGAGCGACCAGAGGTATGTGCAGCGGGCCCAGGACTGGATCAGGCTGATACTGTCACATTTTGGCGTAGCTCGCTGTGGTTTACGGGCTCTGTGGTCAGAGGTGCAAGGGTGCCCAGCAGTGCTTAGCATTTCTGACCGGGAGACCGTATGGAAGGAGAAGAAGCTCCACGGGAGGTACTACAGGACTCTACATGAGCCCTTCGTAGATACAGTAATATATACGTCTGGACCTGGCTCACGAGGTCACCGACATGTGGGGTGGCCTGCCGACCGAAATTATTCCTGTAGTCGTGTCTGCAAACGGGTTAATCCCAGCCAGCCTCTCGGGTCATCTGGGGTGGCTGGGACTCCGTGACGGACCGCTCCGGGGTCAAATTCAGAAGGTGCATCGGTGCTCCCCGATACCACCCGCATCGTCCGCCAGTTTATTTCCCTTTCCACCTAACCCTCGGCCGTTTGCCGAGGGCTTCCATCTGGTTGGGCTTTTATTAATTTATGTTAGTATATTAAATATATATTTATGTATATTTATTTTTTCCTTTTATATATTAATCCAGCCCAACCAGATGTGACTATCAATAACCCCCATAATAAATAAAAATAGTTTATTCAGTAAATCCTTTTAAGTATAAAAATTTGTCTTAGGAGACTCCACTCTTCCATAACACTTACATTTCTATTTGCATGATCGTTACAAAATAATTAACTATAAAAATTAAAATTAAAATCTAATAATAGGAGATAGGTGGCGCTATTTAAGCAGTTAACATATGCTCCGTATAATTTTTGTTTTAAAAAATTTATAAACAAACTTTACGTTACTTTTTTATAATCTAAGTATTAATTCTAACGTAATTTAGTGTGTAGAGTGTTATCTCGCTGTTTGGGCCTATACAGTGCAAAGTTGATGAAAGTAATCCAGTGAATTAGTGAACTATCAATTGTTGTATTGTATTGAATTTATTGTAATAAGACAGTGTTTAAGTGAAGCGCTAATGTACAGTGCTAACAAAATAAGTCAAAAAAGTAATCAACAATTTATTTTTGTGTAAAAGTGAAAAAACATAAATTTTGTATTAAAGTGAGAGTTACGGTAGTTTCATATGTTTAAATTTATGTTACTCGTACATCTGATCGTACTATATGTTACTCGTACATCAGCGACATCTATGTGATAATTGATTACCTAAAGAGAATAACTATTTTTGAATTATCACGCCATCTACTAATTACTGGCGAAATATACTTACGAACTTATGCTAATCGATCAATTAGATTAAGTCCACTATCACCCATTGGAGGCCGTGCGCATTCATCTGATTTGGGAATATTTTAATTTTGAAAAAAGTCCTAGATTGTTAGTTATATTGAATCTATTGTATGAAATGATGTCGCCACCAACCGAGACTTGTGCTGCATGTGCGAAACCTTTACCCAAAAGAGAATATCTACGTTGTTGTAATTGTAAAGGAGTTTATGACATTGAATGTCTAAATATAAGTAGTAAACGTTTTTATTCTTTTTATTCGTTTAATAAAGAGCGTAAAGATAATTGGAAATGCCTTTCATGTGTGAGCAAACTCCCGCGAACGAATAATTTGAATACACCAATGCGTACTGCTGAGTCTGAAATTTCTAGTCCCCCGGCTTTGGTTGTCTCACCAGAGAACTCGAATGTGGCAGTCTGTGGCAAACCACCTACAAAAAATACTCAGGACAAGAACATTCATGAAGAGGAGAGCATCATCATGAAGAATATTATGTCAGAATCGCTCGATGATACAGCTATGAACTTCAAACTGCTTCTTAGTGAAATGAAGGCAATCCGTGCTGAGATGCGCTTGTTCCATAATTCTATGACAGATCTAATGACTGCCATTAAGATTCAGAGCAGCCGCATTGACTCCATCGAAACCAGAATATCAGTCTTAGAAGACAAGTCAAAAGGCTTACAACGCTGTGAAGTATCGACTTTGGAAGAGACAATGTCACAGTTGAAGTCACAAATATTGGAACGTGACCAAGACTTACTCGCTAATGATATCCAGATAGCGGGATTCCCTGAAACGAGTAGTGAAAATACCGCACATATTATCTTGGCTATTGCCAAGAAATTATGCGTGGACCTGGATGAGCGCGATGTGGTGTCTTCAGAGCGTACAGGTTTTATACGCGATAATGGCGAGGGCTCTTCAGTTCCGCGGCCACGCCTTTTAGTCATGCGATTGGCGCGTCGTGCTCAGCGTGATGCTCTAATACAGGCGGCACGAGTACGGCGCAATATCACCACTGAAGGTTTGGGACTGACGGGAATAGCTCGCACCATTTATGTCAACGAGCGTCTTACTAAGCACAATAGCCGGTTATTTTATAAAGCCCGTGCGACGGCGAAAAGGCTTGGTTGGAAGTATGTATGGTCACGTGATGGAAAGATTTATGTAAGGAAGGAACATGGGAGTGAGCGACATCGGCTTCGGTCGGAAGAAGATTTGACTAAGGTTTTTGGTGTGGAAGCTGTTGGCTTTAAAACTATGTCACTCGGCGAATAATAGGAATATGTTATTTATAATTATTTTTATACAAACTTCACACATTAAATTAGAATTTTTTTATTTCATAAATATTACATTAACATATGTTTCATTGTTATATTCTGGCAGATTAGCGGTATTTATAGTACGTAACGTAAAGAAGCTGAAGCAATTCTCAACATCTATTACTTGCAGACCAGTTAAGGATTTAAACGTACTAAAATTTAATTCCGATGTTGATGCTGTATTCTGGGAAGAGTTGCTTTGCGGTGACGTAAACAGTTCTTTAACGGCTTTCAATGCACATATTTTGTACCTGTTTAATATTCATGCACCAATAAGAACGTCTTACATAAAATGCCAAAGCTATCCGTGGATCACACCAACGATTAAAGAAATGATGAAGCTAAGAGATAAATCTCATGCAAAATGTAAAGGCCATAATTCTAAAGGAGACAAAAATATTATAAAGATCTGAAGAGTACTGTTAATGCTGCTATACTGAGTGAAAAAACAGCCTACTTTCGATATTTTATTAATGAAAATTCAAAAAATGCTCGAGTACTTTGGAGAAATATAAAGAAAAATGTGGTAGACTTCAACAAAAAAGATATTGCTTTGCCATCAAACTTGAATGATCCTGACGTAATAAATCACCATTTTCTACACGTGCCAGGAAGCAATAGTGTAAGTCCTTCAACATTATGCTATTTCGAATCTAACCGTTTCAATTCGTCGGTTTTCACTTTAAAATTAGTGGATGAAAATGTAGTATCAGAAATTTTGAAAAATATTTCCACTAATGCTATGGGTGTTGATGGTATCACTAAAGATATGGTTCTCTTAACATTGCCACGGACTTTGAAAACAATTACCACCATTATTAATACGTCTATACAGACAGGGGTGTTCCCAGACATCTGGAAGGAAGCCATCATAAATCCAATACCAAAAAATAATCAGCCTGTAGAACTAAATCATCTTCGACCTATAAGTATACTGCCTTTTTATCTAAAATCGCTGAAAAGGTTATTTATTTACAATTAATAGAATATCTAAACCAGAACAATATTTTACCTCTTAAACAATCAGGTTTTAGGGCTGGACTAAGCACGGTTACAGCACTGTTGAGTGTTGTCGATGACATTCTGACAGCGCAGGATAACGGAGAGGCTACAATTTTGCAACTCTGCTTGACTTTTCCCGTGCGTTTGATACAATAAATATTACTCTGCTTCTGTCGAAGTTGGTGTATTACGATTTTGATTGTAACGCATTAAAGTGATTTGAAAGTTATTTGAATGGTCGCATACAGCGAGTCAGGCTTCGAATGGAAATTGGTACCAACATTTTTTTCTACTGCGGCTCCTGTTACTCGTGGTGTTCCACAAGGGTCAATTTTAGGTCCGTTACTCTTTATTCTCTACAGTGCCGATATTATAAGCTGTTTTAAATATTGCCAGTATCATTTATATGCAGACGACCTTCAAGTGTACATATCATTTAGGCCGGGTGATACAAATGAGACAGTTTACAAATTAAATCAGGAGTTAAGTATGATCGCTGAATGGGCGAGTAATAATGAACTCATCTTAAATCCAAATAAAATCAAGTTCATGATTTTGGGGTCAAAGAAATTAATAGAACGAACGAATGCTCATAATTGTCCATATTGAACAAGTATCTGAAGTTCGTAATTTGGGTATAATTATGGACAGTAGACCAAGGTTTGAAAATCATGTTATGCATACAGTGAAAAATTGTTTTTATAGATTAAAAGTATTATATAATATCCGGCAATACTTAAGTGAAGAATTGAGGGTGCAACTTTGCGAGTCATTAATACTCTCGAAGCTAAATTATGCTGATATTGTCATGGGAGAGTGTTTGCTTGCGCGAACAAAACTTGTTATACAACGAGTACAAAATGCATGCGCTAGGTTCTGCTATCGAATTCCTCGTAGAGGCCATGTGACACCGTTTTTAAATCAGGGCAAACTTATTAATATGAAATCTCGTAGATCGGTTCATTACAGTTGTTTACTTTATAAAATATTACAAAATCAACAACCGAAATACTTATATGAAAGGCTCAGTTTCTCGGAACGTCTCTCGCGGGAAACTGTTCGATTATTGTACCTAAGACACAGAACGGCCGCGTTTCGTAGTAGCTTTCGGTATGCTGCCACAAAGTGTTGGAATAATATACCACCTCCGATCAAGGGTAGCAAAACAGTTCGCACTTTTAAAATAAAACTAAAAGAATACCTTTTAAATTTGCAAAGTAAGTAGAATTATGTGTCGATGTATCACATTTTTCTTATAAAGTATACTGTGTCTATATATTATAAAACTAACGAATACTTGCTTAATTGTACATTTATTTATTTTGCTTTTGTATCTTGTCAAATAATTTAATTGTGAGTTTTGTGCCTTGCACATGCCTTTTGTTGCGCTTTTTGTTGTGTTGGCTTTTTGTTGTGCTCTTTCTTAAATGCTAACAGTTTTATTTTTATTTTTAAATTATGTGTGTTTTTTTTATATATAAGTAAAGTATGTATTTTCATGTGTTGGAACCTTGTGATTAGTGTAATAAGTTAAGCTTATTCTATTCCACCTATGTCTCTGGCGTTTACTGAAAATCAGTAGTTGTAGTTACCACTATATGGTTTCTATAACATTTCTGCTGAGTAGACGCCTTTTTAGTTCATTCCTTTAAATAATTATGTTATGTTAATTTGTGTGTATGTTTGGAACTAAATAAATTATATTATTTTTATTATTATTATAAATAATATTATTAGATTTTAATGTTTAAGAGCGCGCTCGCACGTTTGTGTGTTTTTGTGTGAGTGAGTGAGTGGGTGCGTGTAAATGAGTAAGTGACTGAGTGAGTGCGTGTACGAGCGCATGTGTGTTGTATGTGTTATAAATAAATATTTTAAGCAATATGACAATAATACATTATCATATTGCGTAAAACAGCCTCAGTATCATCATAGCTCTTATGAAATAGATATTTATTATTTATTATTAGAACATATTTGCAATTATGGTAGTTAAGGTGATGAAGTATATATTTAGTAAAGTACCTTTTTCTTCTTAGAGTTTTAAATGTCAGTGCGTGTTGCCAGTGATGACTTACGGATCTAAGACGTGGTCCTTCACTGCTGGCCGTATGAGGACGCTCAAGGTCGCTCAGCGAGCTATGGAGAGGGCTATGTTTGGAGTTTCTCTTCGTGATAGACTCAGAAATGAGGATATCCGCAGTAAAACCAGAGTGACCGACATAGCCTAACGGATTAGTAAGCTGAAGTGGTAATGGGCCGGCCATATAGCTCGAAGAACCGATAACCGATGGGGAAGAAAGGTTCTCGAGTGGCAGTCTCGTACCGGTAGGCGTAGTGTAGCGTGTAGCAACCCCTCACTAGATGGGGTGACGACCTGGTAAGATATGCAGGAAGTCGATGGATGCAGGTGGCTCAGGACCGTGCTTTGTGGCATTACTTGGGGGAGGCCTATGTTCAGCAGTAGACTTGTGAAGAGCTGTGATGATGATGATGATGATGAATCGAAAAACACCAGCCCACAACGAAAAAATAATGATGAAGAAGATGATGATTAGGCTACGTATAAAAAGTTATACGTGGTAGAGCCATGTTGCAGTTATATTAGTAGTATTGTTGTAGCACGAATGAGTGGGCTCAACTGGAGAAGGACCACGCTCTCACAGAATATCAGCGTAAAATAGTAGTTTAGCGCTGCTGTGTTTCGTATGGTGAGTGTAGAGACCAGAGACCCATTTTACTGGAAACGAGGCATTCATCTTAGTCCTCACGGTTGATAATGCACCTGCATTTTGATTCATAAGGATATATGTAGATGTCTATGGGCCACAGCAACCACTTACCATCAGGTGGACTGTGTGCTCGTTTGTTACCCTATCTTATAAAAAAATATATAGCCTATAGAAAAAAGCCTGAGTTCGAATATAATTTGTAAAACATATTTAACTAGTTTTCAAAGTATTTAAAGTAAGTAGGTTAGTGTTCCGCCACTTAGCGATCCTAGCAAAGCCTTCTTCTGCAGATTTACGAACAGGAATCCAGGAGTCACCAATAAATATTACTGCAGTATAATCTGCATAGGAGATTATGTTGCCATCTTTAATGTCAATGTTGGTTAGATTTAACAGTGGTAGAGCCACGCGGCAGCTTTCCTGTTGCACGTATGGGCCGGCACAAGCCGGGGTGGTACCACGACCTCACAGAATACCGGCGTGAAGTGGAAGCTCTGCTTCCGCGTTTCGTCTGGTAAGTGAAGGTGGCCGGAGGCCCAAATCCTCCCCCTCCCCCCATCAACATGGTAGCGGAATTAAATGATGAAAGACTACACCAGGAGGGTACCAGCACCCCTGGAGAATCCCTTGCTGAGCATCCACGATCATGTTTCTCCACTTCTGAGCGTGGGTGCTCTGGCTGCCCCGCGTATTCTGGGGGGAGGGGGGGGGGCAAAATTCTGCTCCAGACTACAACTGCTCGGGGCAAATGGAGCAACAAGACCAAGGCGACCCCTGCCACGCTGTCCGTGAATTTCTGCAATATCAGGGGACTTCACTCTAACCTAAACGCCGTCCACTACCATCTCGAGACGGCGAGGCCAGCTCTGCTCTTTTTGACCGAGACGCAAGTGTCCTCTCCGGCTGATGTCTCGTATCTCTCCTACCCGGGGTACAAACTGGAACACTCCTTTGTGCCTCGGGCTGGAGTTTACGTTTACGTCAGAGAGGACATCTGTTCCCGACGCCTCGGCAGACTTGAAGGTTCGGACTTCCTACGCGTAGACAGCGACGACCATCCGCGCGTCTACGGGTGCCTCTATAGGTCCCATAGCGGTAATGCCGAAACAGACCGACTCTTCGACCACGTCCGAATGTCTACAGATTCGTTGCTACAGCAGATCCTACAGAGATCGTATCCTCGGCGACTTTAACACCCATCGCACCGAATAGCTTGGTTCACGTTTAACCGATCATGCGGGGAGATCTGTTCATGATTTTGCCTTGGCATATGGTCTGACACAACTGGTTACTTCGTCTACGCGGATTCCAGATGTGGAGGATCACGCACCTTCCCTGTTGGACCTTCTGCTGACCACTCACCCGGATGGATATCAGATTTCTGTCGACACCCCTTTAGACTCCTCGGACCATTGTCTTGTCCGGAGTGTGGTGCCACTCACGCTGAAATCGCAGTTGCATTCTGCAGGCTGCCGCCGTGTTTGGCACTAACGGTCAGCCGATTGGGATGGGATGCGGTCTTTCTTTGCATCCTACCCTTGGGGGCGGGTTTGCTTCTCGCTGGACGATCCCAGCGTTGTTGTGGATTCTGTCGCTGATGTGGTACTTCAGGGTATGGAACTTTTTATTCCTTCCTCTGTGGTGTCAAATCTCAGCCATGGTTTGGTCGCTCCTGTAAA